CTTTTTCAAAATCCTAGATCTGTCCAAGGACAGCATTTTTATACTGGTTTTACCAACTACTGTCTTTATTGAATTATAAGATGGCCCTGTGAGTTGTCATTGGAAATATTATAAGAAAACTGGGGGTTCCATAGAAAAGCTATCTTTGCAATTATCCAAAGATCACAGGTCTGATCCTACCCTTGATAGGTGGGGAGCACTCTGTTCACCACTGAAGTCCATATGACTTGAGAGGCTTGAGCTCCTCTCAGGGATGGACACTGAGTGTATTTTAAAATAACAAAGCGATGTAGGAAGAGCCGGCTCACATGGGAAGGCTTGCATTGTATTATCCTATCATTCAGCTGGTGTTACTTGGCTTAACTCTGAAAGTAGCAGATTCCACCATGACTGTCATAATTGCAAAACAAACCTATTGGTACAAGGGCTGTAGTGAGTCATATGAATTTTCTCTTTTTAACACTTGTTCTGATTCAAGCACTTTAAGTCCTGCAACATTATGATAGTGAAAACAATCAGAGGCTGCCAAAAGCTTTGAAGGGCATTATTGTGGTAGTCTTAGGCTAGTGAGCACTTACTTACTTAAGGAGTCCCATTGATTTTAATGGAACACTCATCTAAATTCCTAGCACTGCAATATGTAAAACTTTAAACTTTGTTTATATAGCAGAGATACTTGTGGTTCCCACCCGAAGACATGAAAAAATTCCTTTTGTTCATCTGTAAAAGCCATGGGACCTCATCAGCAAGTTTTGCTGTATGTGAAATGTTCAGTCTAGTTAGCTGAAAATGAATTTGGAGTAATGTAGAGGGGTTTGGAAGGCATCATGCAGTCTCCCCAGCTTGTGTGGACTTGCTATATGTTTATTTCAGCCTTGTTTTAAATGATTCTTTTAGAAATCCTATGCAAATATAAACATTTTAAACTATTCTACTAGCTGTTTTCTTATATGTTGGTACATGCTGCACTATACTGCTATAAAAGAAGGTAGCTTGATTTATGAGGTGGCACAGTTGGATTAATAAACATGTACTGTTTATACATACTCTGCCCAGCCCAGGTATGCATGGTAAACATATAAAGAGAGCGCTACCTGGATTTGGGGCGCTAGGATTTGCAGTGAAATGTAAATCCTCTTTCTTTCCTTGTTCCTTCTCCCTATTTCTCTCCTCCTTTCTTCTCCTTCCTGTTTAACTTGTCTTAGTTATCTGTCAAGTCTCTATGCCTGGCAGTAATTTGGTAGCCTCTAGGTGGGTCAGTTATTTCACTCCTGGCCCATCTGTCACATGAATCTTCCTCACCTAGTGTCCAAAAAAGAGTACCCATTACTACTGTAGTTGCATATTTTGTACTTAAACCAACACATCCATATCATGCAGTTCCTCACAGGAGGGGATTTAGAAAACCACCTAACTATATCCATTTCCATTATAATCTAGAACAATTTTGCGAGTGTAGAAATCCTTCTTTTCTTGTGTCATCCTTCCAGGAACAAATTACGAGTGTTTTTTTTTTTTCACTTTTCAGAGAGACACATTAAACAAACCTTTGTCCTCTCTGAAGGTATCAAAAATTGTGCCATGGATGAAATATATTTAATCAGAAATACATCTTTCTATTAAACATGAATAATGTAACAAATAGATGAAGTAATTGTGTCACTGTTTTGATCTGGGTAACATTAATTTGGTCATTTTTCCTTTCAGATGATACATCAGCAGCCTAACCCGGGTATACACTATGAGTATATCATCCCAGGAGCTAACATCATCAGCTCTCAGTTGCCTGCTCACAGAAGACCGGGTAAATTTTTCATCATTTTAAATTATTAAGCACAGTCAGTAACATTATGGGGCAAAGATGAAACTCTGTTCCCAATGAAGTCATAGTTTTGCCATTACCTTCAGTGAGGCCAAGATTTCACCCCAGAGATTCAGTTTCTGTGAACCAATATAGCTTCATTGACTTGAATGGAGTTGTTCTGCTTTACACCAGCAAAGGATCTGGCCTTAGATTTCTGTTTCCAGGGTTAGGGACAGACATTCAAAAAGCCTGAGCCTGAATTAATTCATTCTTTGCAAGTTAGTCTAACCTGGGTAGATTAAACTGGTTTGTAACCAGACAGACATTCTCTCTGGACTGAGGAAATTCAGGCACATCCCTGCAGTGGCTCAGGCTAGAAGCAGAGGGATGCTAGACCAGCCCTCCCATCCTCCCACAATGCTGAGCTGAGGAGGGTGTGGCCAGGCCCTGGCAGGACCTCTGATTAGGGAAGTCTGCCTGCATGGTCTCAGGCTTTTCCCCGTTGGCTGCTCAAGGGGCAGGAGTGTTACCAGAACCCAGCCCCCTATTAGCACTCTGAAGCAAGCAGGGGTGTGCAGTGCATGCCTCTGTTGACATACAGAGCTTTGCAATCTTCCTCTCCCTGCCTCTTTATACTGTCTGCAGCAAACTGACTGGCCAGCAGGGGGCTGATATCAGTGATTATCACCTCATCAGTAAAACAGAAGCCTCTCTCCATTAATTCAAACTCTTCTTAAACAGTTTACCAGCTGACCTGTTGATTAGCTCCAAAAGCCATAAGTGGACGCTGTTCTGTCTGCCTGTCCCAGTGTAATTGGAGACATGCACACACAGACACCTCTTGGCATTAGCTAGCCTACCACGTGCCTATGGTCCCTGGGACTGGGGTCTGTGCTGTGGGAGATGTGGGGGATCCCTGCTTATCCAGCAAGCAACGGTGTGTGGGGTGGTTAGGGCAGGCAGAAGCCAGGCAGACCCTGCTGTGTCTTCAGTCTCTGCTGGAGCTGCAGCCAGGAAGCAGAGGGGAGGAGCCAGCTCTGCAGTGGAGCAAAGAGCTCCACCCAGCCCGGAGAGCATGCCAGGATGCTGGGGGAGTTTGGTTTATCTTAAACCACCACAGGGTGTGGGACACACATTTCATAAACTGGTTTGACCCAAATCAGTTAAACCTGGTTGAATTTAGTATTAGGCTTATCTCAAACTGGTTTTGGCCATTTTCAAACTGGTTTATGTGCACGGAACATCTGTTCTGTTACAGCTTTAAACCAGTTTCTGATCACTTAAACCAGTTTATGGATAGTGTCAATCCCTAGCACAGGGGTCATGAACCTGGGAGTTTGCAGGATGTCTTACATGGTTTCTTGAATTTGTTGTACTGATATGGCATGTGTAATGTCTACATAAGGGTAGCATCAAGCTTTATTTACCCTTTCATCCTTGTGTATATGTGTCTTGAATTATTTGATATAAAATGTATTTTTTATATTATAATAGGGCTAGGATTGCACAATATGATAAAGATTTTCAAGTAGTAAACAATGGATTTCTTTGACACCTAAGAAAGATTCCAATCCTAAACGGCTGAAGAGCAGTAATGGCTTAGAGTTAGCATGTGACTTGAATTGTTCATTGTCTCCCTTGAATTTGCATTTTAAAACCTGACTAGTCAAATGTTTGAGGGGAAGAGAGACTACATTGGATAGCAAATCTGCATGTCTGAAAGGATGTACATATTCTCTCTGACTTATTAGATAAGGAAAGATTTCTGCACTGATACCCCCTCAAATATGCATGTTTAAGACGTTGAATAGCGCATAGTGTGGGCCCCTCAAAAATGTAAAAGGTGTGACACATATGAATATATAGATAAGCAACTGTACTTAAGCCTTTCTTGAGAGCATGGATTTGTCTTCAGGTTTCTCAGGGTATAGGCCAGGATATAGTCACTCAGTCTGAGTGGAGCAGGCTGAGTAAAGCAAACTGGCAGGAGAAATTGCAGGAGGTGTGGCAATAAGGTAGAGGGAGAAGCTTCTTTTTAATCTGTGGAAGCTGGCTAGGGCCAGAATCCTTGGATTTAAGTAGCAGGGTAAAAACTGGTTATTGTTCTGTTATTTTCTTATAGAATTATAGAAAGTCAGGGTTGATGGGACCTCAGGAGGTCATCCAACCTCCTGCTCAAAGCAGGACCATCCCCAACTAGATCTTTCCAGCCAGTGCTTTGTCAAGCCGGGCCTTAAAAACCTCCAAGGATGGAGATTCCACCACTTCTCTAAGTAAGATCTTCCAGTGCTTCACCACCCTTCTAGTGAGAGAGTTTTTCCTAATATCCAATGTAAACCTCCCATACTGCAACTTGAGAGCACAGTTCTTTTCTTTGTTTTTATCTCTGTCTGTATCTCAGCATATGGTTATGGATTTCTTTTGCGTGTTCTTGTGTTTTGTAAGAAGTCCTCTTTGTTATCTTTTTAGCCACCTAGTGTCAGTGTTAATTGAAGCGGCTGACAAATGTGAAAAAAAACAACAAACTGCACTTTACTGGAGGAAGCAGCACATTAGTTAGATATTCTGCAGCGTCTGTGTAGATTGGGCACTTCAGTGGGGTGATTCAATCAGCTGTTAGATAAAAGCAGCAAAAAAGTCCCACTAAAGTGCCCAATCTATGCTGACATTGGGCGAGCTGGGTCCAACTAACGCAGTGCCTCTTCTGGGCATGTACTGGGCTTGGCACAGCGCGCTGAGTTTAAATTAAAGCACCATTTGGGGGGGTTTGTTTTCACATCTGCAAGCAGGCTGAGATTCTAGAACATTTGACCATACAGGCAGCCTTCTTTATGGGGGAGAGGATGCATCTTTCCTGAGGGCATGGCCAGATAGGGTATGATCCTTCTAGATGGCAAAAGCCTCTGCTAAGAGCTGGCGAGGTCTGGGCAAGACTGGGACAGCTGAGGCACCACATGCCGTGGGGTTGACCCCTTGCACATCTCAGCTGGTTCTCAGTGGTCAAGCAGTAGACAGCAGGGTGGGGTTTGGATCTGAAGGGTACCTCAAAAGATGAGAGCGCAGCCCAGGATTGTGTCTTAGAGGCATGTCTGGCCACATCTTGGTCAGGACGTGTCACTCCAGTATTGTGTCTTTAATATCTTACCTGGGATAAAAACACAGTAACTTTTACTGTCATGTATTGAGTTGTTGTGTCTGCTTTTAAAAAATTCAATATACTTTTTTCTGTCCCTTGATATTTCGAAAGAACCTTTCTCAATTTCTCTTTCTCTCTCCTAACCTAGGGAAACAAAACTTCTAAGCTTCAAAAGCTAAAATCCTCTCGACAGCTTGTATTAAAATTCTACAGCAAAGAGATGTGTTAAGTGTACCAGTAATGAAATCTGAAGGAAAATGTAAAATTGGCAAGTGAATTGAGGACCACTTTTCATGTTCGTGACTCTCCTTGTCAGATTTGTAATGGCTTCTATAGACTATTTCTTAATGAGGAGCAGCTGGATTTTGACACTGGGAGGCACACAGACTACAGAGCCTGGTGCAAAAAATCTTTGGGAAACTTTGATTGACATTGGGTGCAATAACGATTTCAAACAGCAGTGAATTTTCTTAGTTGTATGTGTGTTTTCTTGCTGAGAACTGGGTGGCTTATTCAAAAGCAGCAGTCTTTGTTTATGAAATAACTCAGTAAATCTGTTCATGGCAGATAAAAGCTACTTCCAAGCTGGACAACTCTCTAGACCATAGTTATGGCTACTAATTACCATATACTTCGGATAATATTTGCAAATGATGCTCATTATTTTAATTTGTTCTTGTTGCCTGTCCCCAGGGGAGCCATTCAATGGCCAGTTAGAAGTGCCAGACAGTACAAATGAGGAAGATGAGGATTTACAAAGGGAGACAGACACTAACCCTGAACAGTCAGCAGGGACCTTTCCAGTTATTCAACCAGGAAGATTTCCTTCTCATCAGCCAGAAAACCAGGTGCCTGCTGTGCAGCCACCAAGGCGAAACCGAGACTACAACTGGAAACAGATTGGAACAACTGAGTGCACAACCACATGTGGGAAAGGTAAGTACTTCACAGCGCGTGCACAGAATATATATTATATTACACCCTGGAAGATTCCAGCCTGGAGAGAGCAGTTTAGAAAACCCAACCCAGCAACTCCTTGGAGACACTAGACATAAACTCGACACACTGGTTTCTATTGTTTCTCACAGGTGAAAAGCAGAAAAGTCTGCAACATAAAGTTGGTTCAAATTATGTCAATAAAAATAACACTCAAGTGAAAAGAAGTAGATCACTGTGGACATAAGGTGCAGGGGGGGAACGGCATCTGTTGCTGAAAGAGCTAGTCCAGGCTTTTAAGGCTGAGGATGAGAAGTTGTCTTTCAAGCTACCTATCTCTAAGGTAGAAACCACTCCTGCTTTCCCCAGTATTCCTTGGTATCTTTCCCGCCTTTCTACTTAAATTCCTCACTTACTTTTTAACCCACATTGATATCTTCCTATTTTTGTAGGGCTTTCACTTTTTATTAGCAGCAACTCCTCAGACAACTATATCTCAGAGTTCCCTCTGAGAGTTAGATGTCCTTAAAACATAAATTATGTGAATTAGAAGTATTTTGAACACTCAACAATTAATGTCCCTTTTGCATGAGGAGGCAAAACTATTTTAAGCATAGTACGTAGTCTTTCTAAATGGTAACAAAATCAGAAGTATGATGTTTTTGATAAACCTCAAAGGCGAGGTCCTTCTGAACAAGAAAGGCAGGCTCAAATACTTCAGCAGAAGGTGACAAGCAATGTGTGTTGGTCCTAGAGATATATACATTTTATATATATATTTTTTTGTTTATAGCACTTCTCACTGTAGCATCTTTGCACCTTATTCCTATTTCGAACTAAAAAAATATATTAAAAACATCACAATGTGAGTTTTGCAAATTCTGTCCTTATGAAGAATACAGTATAACAGTAAATATTAAAAATTAGCAAAATAAAATATATTCCAAACCCCAATATCAACAGCATATGCTTCCCAGATGATCCATGAAATGAGGCCCCTGCCAAAGAGCTGGGTCCTGGGCCAGTTGGGGCTATCAGGAGTTTGGAGACCTAATAAAACAATTTATTTTAAAAACCTACAACAGACCAACATACGATTACCTACAATGTGTAAAGCTGCTAGAGATATCTAGCAACTATGTGGTGCTTCTGAAATAGAATAATTGAAATTTTAAATTTTCACTGAAAGGAAAGGTAATATACTCTTTGCAGCTGGCAGCATTTTCTTCAGGAAAGCAGCTAAGATTGGTGATGTAAAGGGTTTGATAAGGTATTTGGCTAAATTAGGGAACACTGAGCTGTTGGAGAGCTGCAACTGCTCTGCAAATTTATTTCCTTTGGGGGAAATTTTAGTTTAATTTTCTCTCTTTGTTCCCAGATATGAAACTGAGCTAGCACATGAAAGCTAAATGCATATATATATATATATATATATATATATAATCCTGATCCTTAGGCACATTGTTGCAATAATGAATTCTAATTATATTTCTGACAGCAAATCACACTATATTGAAGTTCCCTTTTTTATTATTTCCTTCTGGTCCTGGACAATGTACTGGTAAACCTGTCCTGCTTTGGGATATTACTGCAGAAGTGTTATAGTACTAAAATTAAAGCCCATAAAAGAAAGAATTACTGCGAGTCTGATTATTTGTGGGAAGAGAGGAGGGAAAGTAAACCAAAATTATTTTGGTTGGCTCTTAGAGTTGACTGTAACACCAGTGCACATGGCAGAATTCTCAGGTGGTGTGCATAGACTCACCTCCTTAGCAATCAGTGAAGATCACCAGCTGCAGATTTGGACCATCATATTTTCAAGAGAGGGAAGCTGAAGTTTCTGTGCAAAAAAATTGTACACTTGAGTATTCAACTTGGATAAGACTGCATGAAAATGCAGCTGCACACATCAGTAAGAGTTGTTTCTTTCTGCTGTTGCAGAAGAAAAGCTGGACATTTTGATTATGAGGGGAAAGTTTTCACCATTTCTTTTTGCTGTATCTTTAAAGATCTTGCAGTTAGTGAAAAATCATCCATATGAGAGCTTTTAGTATATCATGGAGTATGACACGGGAAGTTTTTAGTGTCGCAGGGAAGCTTTTAGTATGTCAAAGAGCTGAGAAATCCTCCAGAAAATTAGAACATATGGGAATGTCAAATCCCACCTTCTCTGAACTCTGAGGGTACCTTAACCCTTGTGTTCCAGAGTCTAAAACAATATATTTGGAGAAATCACAATTTTGAGAGCAGAATACTATAGTTTGCTGATAGCATAAATAGTTTGTACAAAATCTAGGCCTGGAGTGTTTGTATGGCTAACTAAAAGTAAAGTGTCCTGTTTACAGATCACTGAGGCTGAGGAGACAGGGTGCCTCTGTTTCTTTAACCTTGACATAAGAAGGAGGTGATATGGCCAGCACAATGTTCTAGCCAACTTTACCCCCAGGTAGCATTTGGGGGGGGCGTGTAGATGAAATGGGGACCTAAATTGAAGCAGTGAGTTTTAAAAAAACACCGCTTCAATTTACGGATGATTAAACTCCCATGTTGTGCACACACCCCGATGATTTACCTGCTTCTCCGGCAGGGAGGGGAGGGCAAGCTGCCAGTGGGTGGAGTGGTCCCTGGGCTGTGGGAGGAGATGGTGGAGGTTGGTGCTTCCCTCCACAGCAGTGGCAGCCCCACCAGGCAGCCCCCGCCTGCAGGCACCTGGCTTGGGTGGTCCTGGGGGGCACCACAGCTGCAGAGGGAAGCTCCAGGCCCCCACACAGCTCAGGCAGGCAGGAAGGCACCGGTGGCGGGGGGAATCAGGCTTGCCACTTTTCTTGAATGGAGCCTGTTTTCCTGGGCTGCTGCCAGGCTGCCTGCAGGGCTTCCTTCAGAGCCATGGAACTGCATGGAGCCCAGTGCTTCACTCCACGGCTCAAAGGAGTTTTAGTTTGCTGCATCCAAAGTCGTTTAAGGTGCATTACGCCACCGAATTTTCTACCAAATTAGTATGCAATACGCCACCAACACGTGCAAACACTGGCACCATTAAAACGATGCAATCAAACTACCCCCTTTTTTTTAATTTATGAAATTTCAGGATTTTTTTAGTTTTGCCTTTTCTTCTCCTTTTTGTCTATAACTGCAAAAATATATAGGAGGCCAAGTTCTTTTTCTAAATGTATTCATTTCTTCTTGGTACTCTTAAGTTTTCAAAATGCTTTCAACTTTGGAAAGTCAGAGGCAAAATGAAAAATATAGAGAAGATAAATTCTTAAGCTGCATTCCTGTTATATTTAGTGGCAGATGGGGAAAAGGGCAACACAGTTATCAGTTTGGCTGGAAAACTGGATATTTTAAATGCTTTTGACTAAGCTTTGATTTTGTTGGGAGGGGAGGAAGGGGGTGTGTCCAACAGTTCTTATACCAAGGTGGCGGTTTAAAGCTGAACTGGCTGAGGAAGTGGATTTCTTATTCTGAAGGTCATTTAGCTACTGCTAGCCTCTCCAACAGGGCACCGAGGTATTTCTAGAGTAATTTTGGCTGATAAGGAAAGGAACCACAGAAAATGAGAGATGCCTGATGGAGGCTGTAGTGGGGGGAGAGCTATGCAAGTGCAGGCTATTACTGTTAAAACCATAATCTAGGCCTTGGCTTAGATGTAAATGGAACACATTACAGAGCCAGTTCCAAATATATAATTTAGTGACCATGATGCCATAGAAAATAGCGTTCTCATTTCTTTATTAAGAAGCCAATTCATAAAAGAAGGCTAATGAATACAGAACAATGCTGATTGCTGAATTACTTACTTTCTGTTAGGATTGGGATAACGAAAATGGCACTCTATGCAGTATTATTGTAAACTGGAATATGGGATGCAACACTCTTGAATAAATATACTGTTGAATATATTTAACTTTGGCAGAAATTTTAGCTTTTAATTTTTAATTTTACAATGCTCTGTTTCTCTACGTCAGTCCAAATTTAACATTAATCAGAACTGCCTTATTATGTTTAAAATCATGGGCATGAGTTAAAGCTATTCCAGAACTTTAGTACAACATCAATTAAATCAAACAGCTGTCTTAATTTACTTGTTTCTCTCTCTCCCTTTGTCTCACAAATGCACACATAATTATCCCATTGCTTGGATGAAGAAAAGCAGGATTTTTTACAAATGTAGGATGAGATCAGGAGCTTGCAAAAAACTATTAACATGATTAAAGCAATTATAAAAAGTTGCCATTAAAATCAAAGAGATTTAGAGCCCTGGAAAGTAGGAAGGTGGGTTACAGTCAATAACAGAGGATAGACTAAGACTGCATATTCCAGGTGGTTAATTAGGTGATAAGAGAGTTGAAGCGAACTGAGCACTCAGCCCAGTGACAGGGTTTGTGATGTCAGCAGTTATGCAAGTCAGAATATGAATGGATTCTTAGGTCAATAGGTGTAACCAACCCATGTCAGCTAGGATGTGCAAGGTGTCAGTATTATAGTAAGCTTTCTTGTACTTCTCTCTGCTGCAAACACAAAAAACCCAAAACACACTGCTGCATTTTGTCATCAAATTATGGTGGAGAAACTTTGTAGGCTTCTAGTCATGTGATAGCTTTTGCCTTTTCCCGTGAGCCATTCAGTTAGCACTCTACACTGCTCTGTAAAGATAGGCATATCTATGAAGTAGGTAACATATCACTTTACTGATGACAACCTTGAAGCCAGGGGAGCAAGTTGCTTGAACAAGAGCATAAGGGGAGCCTGAATCAGGGGCTACATGAGGAGTTTGTGCTTGCAGTCTTGTGTTCAGACTATTTATCTGCCACTTTTGAATGACCTGCAGGTCCACACTATGCATGGTTCTCACCCTACACAGTTCAAGGTTGTCTTTACTTAGTCTTTCCTCCAGTGCTGTCCTGTGTTATGTGACCGCTGGTGGCTCCAGTCAGTGTGTTGCTGTAGCATTCAGATTTATGTTTATATACAGGGAATAAATTACTAATCTTGATTGTTTTCCATTGCCTTTTGCTGCTTTGTGCTTTTGTTTTCTTGCACCAGATCCTAGTTTCTATAGCTCAGTCATGTGTGTGCTGTGTGTTCTTTTTACCTGCACTGCGTACTATTGCTTTTTGTTTTTTTCGCCATTTCAGGGTCACAATACCCAATCTTCCGCTGTGTCAACAGAATCACTCATGAAGAGGTGTCTGAGAGTTACTGCGACACCAGCACCAAGCCTACTCCAGAAGAAACAGCCTGCAACACCTTCCCATGTCCAGCCTTGTAAGATTGTGCCACAAATTATAGAGAAATACAGGGAGCAATGTCACTGAGGCTTTGCACATGAAAGAGGCTGTTTTAAGTGGGAAACTAGGCTAAATAACTCAAGTACTTGGCACTGAGATCAGGGAAATACAGTTGACAGTTAATTTAGCTAGTGTTTTTTATTCCTTTCAGAGGAAATGGCAGTAGCACACAGTAGTTTTCCCATAGCAGTAGTCATGCCATTTGGGATAAGGCACTAAGGAGAGATTGGCAACCACTGCCTAGTTTTAATGCAGCCATTTCTGCACTGGCATGATAATTCAAGGGCAAACTGTACCTGCGATCTCTCTGCCAGTCTCTTTGTGGACATTCTAGCCAAGTGACAGGACTGCACTTCAGAGTAGACCTCTCTACTATCTAGGTCTATCTCACTTCCAACTGCATCTCCAGGCTACCCCACCACTTACTCATACCACCTTCTTATGATTAAGTGCAAGTGGTAGCTTATATCCCTTTGTAGCTCCCCTGAAGTGCTCCCATTAGTTGAATGTTTTCTCAGCCTTCATCTTCCTCCAGGTGGAGTCCTGCACTTTCTACCACTTTTATATTGGATCCCGGGATATAGCCCCCTGTTTCCAAGTCTGGTAATGGGCCCATTTCTATTTGATAAGCTCAAGGTAATTCCTTGGCCTCGGACTGGTTAGGGTGACAGCTTTTTCCATACCGATGTATTGTCTCTTCACCCAAAGTTGCAGAACAAGCTGGGAAAAGTTTTTAAACTTAAAAGAAAAATGAGGGTGGCTAGGCCCAGCTTAAAGCTTGTCACTTCTAGGCAAGCCCTAGCTGCCTTAGGCACATCCCATAGAGCCTCTTTATCTGACCCACTAGCCCTGATGCATTTTTTTACCTCTCTCAGTGAATCTTCCTTTGTGTGTCTTCACCTCTTCTGAGTAACTGCTCTCTATTCCAAGCAAGGACTCTTAAAGGCCTAGCGTCTTTTTGAACCAAAGCCTCTTCTCGGGAAGAACATGACTATTACCTGGCTGGATCCAGGCAAATAGGTGCTTCCCGATGAAGGACTAGATTGTCTACACCATCTCTATGCCATGTAGCTTAGCAGTGTAGCTTAGAGGGGCCCTGAGCACAGGCACAGGCTGCTGGTAGTCTGTCTGCCTTGGCATGCTCATTGGCACAATGTTCTAAGGCAGCTGCAATGCCACATTACTAGAATTCATCATGCACTGAGCAGAAGCAAGTGGCTGGGGCATGCTTTCTGCCAAAGGTCCAAGACGTAGCTGAGAGGCAAGGTAGAGCAATTCCAAAAGGAAACAAAGTATTTTCCTTTGCCCTACGCTCACTTTTAACTATTTTTGTTATTTCCTGCTTCTTTTTTTTCTAACAAATCCTTTTACTGTAACACTGTGTAGTCAGAATAATATAAAGCAAATAAACTGGGGTAAATGTAAGAGTCATAAAAATAATGCAGATATCTCCCTTCACAATGTGAACAGCCTTTGTGTTAACTATGCATGCACCTCCCTTATTTGTAAAAGTTTCTGAGCATGAAACCAAAAATGAAAATAGAAACTATGTATATTAATTTTTAGATAAAATATATGGAATATTTGTGTGAACAAATAAAATGAAATCTCCATTGAAATGAGTACAACATATAATGCAGTCTTACTAACTAGACAATTAAATGCCTTTATTCATTTTTCATGATATATGGTTTCATTTTTATGTAAATTAACGTCTATTTAGGTGACCCCTTTACCATTTTCTCTTTCTATTTTCAAAACAAGTGCATAAGATGCTTGTTAGAGATTTTACCTTTTATACAGCGAGAGAAATTTTCCTTTTGTAAGTTTTTGGAGATGCTGTTAACTAGTAGAGGTGCACCAATACATCGAGCCCATATTGGATCAGCACTGATATAAGGAAAATTGACAGTATCACAATTGGCTTTTTTGGCTGATATGGCCGATAAATGCCCCGTGCATGCATGCAGCCATAGTGCAGCATGCAGGCAGTGAGGAGCATAGCTAAGAAATGTGGGGAGCAGCATCTGGCTGGTAAGTCTGTTGTGGTGGGGGGGAGGGGCAGATTGAGGCCCCTGCGGTGAGGGTGGGAGTGGGTGTGGGGCTGGGGCTGCCCAGCCAAGGTGGGGCAGGGCATGGGATGGAGCCACAAGTGGCTCATCCAGGGGGGATGGTGGCTCGCACTGCTATGTGCTTCCCAGGAGGGCATGGGGGGGGGCGTGTGCCCCTGGATCTGTGCATGGAGCCAAGGTGGGCTGCAGCTGCGAGCTGGGGCCAGGGCTGTGGCAGGCTCTTCCTGACTGGGGGACTAGGACGGGCTGTGCTCAGACCTGGTAGCAGTGGTGCTGGGAGGGAGGGTTTGGGGGGCTATGGCCCTAGCTTGAAGTTGCAGCCCGTCCTAGCTCCACTTGCAGATCTGTTGGCACACCCCGCCACATGTCCTCCTGGGGTGCATGCAGTAGCAGGAGCTGCAGCCCACCCCCCTTCCCCCTGCACCCCCATGATAATCCACTCATGGCTCTGTCCTGTACCCTGCCCTTCCCTAGCTGGGCAGCCCCTGCCCCAGTCCCAGGTGCACTCCCACTCCCTCCCTCACCACTGGGGCCTCGATCTGCCCCCCCCACACTCCTTTCCACCCCTTCTGCTGCAACAGACTTACCAGCCAGATGCTGTTCTTTATGCTGCTGGGCTGCATATTGGCAATCAGATTGGTATCAGCCAATACGGCTTGTTAAAAATCAGCCATCAGTATTGGCCCCAAAAATCTATTGTGCACCCCTATTAAATACTGCTAATGCATATCACTAAATAATTTAGCACGTTGGAACCAATTCAATATTTCTTAAAAAGATTTAATGGTACCGTCCCTAGAAATAGACACCTTTTAAAATATGTAATAGTTACATACATAAAGAATAAATATTCTTTATTTTAAGATTAAAGGATATTATTTTCAATATTTCAAGGATTTACTTGGGGTGTTATTTTTTTTATTGGACCAAATGAATGGTTGGAATAAAGTTAGATGCTATTGAATGTAAGAATGAAGAATGCTTTGCTTTTGAAAGCTTGTCTACATTTATTTATAAAGTATGCCTTTCACATAATTCATGCACCATCAAGGCTACAACTTCAGTCTAATGCTACCATATTCTTTATTTCAGCATTTAGAAATATTCAGAAGTTTAAGTTATATTTTAAGGCTCTTTTCCATCTCAGTGTCTGTCATCAGAATTGTGATGAGATTAATTTCTGCGGCATGGGAACATCTGTATTAATATTGAATAGTTATTTTGTTTTTCTCTTTCCTCTCTTGATTAGCTGGGATATAGGAGAATGGTCTGAATGCAGTAAAACATGTGGTCTTGGTATGCAGCACCGACAAGTCTTGTGTCGACAAATATATGCCAACCGGACTCTGACAGTTCAGCTCTTCCGCTGCCATCACCTGGAAAAGCCAGAAACAACTAGCACGTGCCAGCTGAAGATTTGCAGTGAATGGCAAATTCGGACAGAGTGGACTTCGGTAAATGGAAATGGTTGATAAATGAATAGCATGAAACCATAGGAGAGCTATAAGGGGGTAAAACTTTCCTTCAGCTGCCTTTAACCAGATGCCGTTGGACTATTTATAGCTTTGATTAAAAATCATGGATGGGAATGTAGGAAAAAGTTTTTAAAATAGGTAGTAGTTGATTGTAGGTGACTTAAAGGAGCTGTGTGTGTTTATGATCAATTATAATGTGCTCTTCAGGACCAGAGAAAACTTCAAAGACTTGCCCATTAGAACAAGCGTCATGCACAAACTAGCCTTGTTAGTATTTTGTTCCAAATGATTGATGGTATTGCTTACTAAAGCAGAAGAGCTCAGTTATTTCCCTAAGCAAAGGGAGCTTTAGCTGATTAAGATATAATTCATGATCTGCCTGCTTTAACTGAGTTCTACCTGTTAAATTAGGCCTATGAGGAGGAAGAGCTCAGTAATGGTTTGCTTTGATAATTAATGGGCATATTTTTATTCAGAGTTTGATTTCATCTAGGATTATTTTCTGCATTGGTGGTGAAAAGCAGCATTTGGTTCAGTTCTTCTACTGTAAGCAGTTTTGAGTAGTATTTCAATGTATAGTCATCTACAGACTTGGATAGAGGGTTTTTTTATCTATGTTATGAAGCAAACTAAATACATATAATAAATAAAACACTGTTTTAGTACTTATAGATGTAAGTTATAACAGCACTGCAACTAAAATTTTAGCTTAATTTACCTTTGAAAAAAATAATGAAAGCATATGGCATAAGAGAGGACCTCCACTAAAGTTTTGAGCCCCCCACTACAAAAAGGACATGGACAAATTGGAGAGAGTCCAGCAGTGGGCAACAAAAATGGTGAGGGGACTGGTGGACATAACTTATGAGGACAAGCTGAGGGAACTGGGCTTATTTAGTCTGGAGAAGATCAGACCGAGTGGGGATTTAATAGTAGCTTTCATCTACCTTAAGGATTGTTCAAAAGGGGATGGAGCTGGACTGTTCTCGGTTGGTGGCAGATGACAAAACAAGGAGCAATGGTCTCAAGTTGCAGCAAGGGAAGTTTAGGTTAGATATTAGAAAGAATTTTCTCACCAGGAGGGTAGTAAAACACTGCAACAAGTTACCCAGAGAGGTAGTGGATTCTCCATCCTTGGAGGTTTTCAAGACCTGGCTAGACAAAGACGAACCTTTGGCTGGGATGATCTGTTGGGGATGATGCTGCTTTGAGTAGGAGGTCGGATGAGATGATCTCCTGAGGTCCCTTCCAATTCTAATTGGCTATGATTCTATAGGAAAATAACAGACCGATAACCTGTTTTTACCCTGCAACTTAAATCCAAGGATTCTGTCCCTAGCTAGATGCCACAAGGACATCCCTAATTTTCTATGATCTCTGTATGCCTCTCTTTTCTCATCTGTGAAGTGGGGATAATGATACATCTTTCCACTTTAAGATCAACCAGTTATAAGCACAATATGACAGACAAAGTATTTCTTCTTCTTTTCCTTAGTGTTATTCTGCTACAGTACTGGCTAGTTTCACACACCTCAGCAGGGTTTTGACAAATAGGCTGAATAAAATGATGAAAGAAATAATGTGAGTACTATAAGAGAGATGTACTTCCTTCTAGATCAGGGGTGGGCAAAATAAGGTCTGCGGGCCACATCCTGCCCGCGAGGCCATTCTATCTGGCCTGTGGGGCCTCTAAAAACTTTAGAAAAGTAATATTTATCTGCCCTTGGTTCCTGTCAAAAATGACAGGAACCAAGGGCAGTAGGACACAAGGGAAGCACAGCAGGCTCCCACAGCAGCAGGGCCTGCCTTGCCTCGCCCCCCCCATCCGGAAGCCCCAACCGGGGCTTCTGGTCTGAGACTGCATGGCTGCCCTGGCAGCACCAGAACCTCAGGTAAGGTGGTGGGGAGGGCAGGGGAGAACCCTGGGCAAGGATGGAGCCCAGGGAAAAGTAGCCTGGGAAAAGCTGAGTGCGGACAGGGGCAAAGCAGCCCCTCGCCCACCCCGTGGCCGGCGCCCTGTGCTGCAGCTGCTTGCAGCCTGCCTGGGGCTGCCTGTGCCTGCTCTGGACAGCCCCACGGGCTGCGAGTGGCTGCAGCAGGGAGCGCTGGCCACGGGGTGGGGGAGGGGCCGCTTCCCTGCCCCGCCCCATACTGAGCACCACCTTGTAACCCAGCCTCACTGCCAGCTTGGGCCCCACGCCGGCTCCAGGCTCACCCATCGGGGCTGTGCGTGGCAACAGCAGCTGAAGCCCCCCTACTTACTGCACTGGGAAGTATTTGCTACTGCCACCTGTGGGCTGCCTAGTGCGTGCTACGGCTGGCAGCAGCAGCCAACACTGCCTGGCGTGGCAAGCGGGGGGGTTGCAGCGCTGCTGCTGACGGGCAAGCCCAGAGCCGATGTAGAGCCCAGTGGGGCTGGGTTACAAGCTGGTGCTGAGTGCGGGGAAAAGTGGTCCCTCGCTCGCCCCATGGCCAGCGCCCTGCACTGTAGCTGCTTGCAGCCCACATGGGCTGCGAGCACCTGCAGCAGAGAGCACCAGCCATGGGGCGGGCAAGGGGCCGCTTTTCCCCACGCTCAACACCAGCTTCTTCCCTGCAGGGGTCAGGGGGTCGGGCTGGTGGGGGCACTGGGAGTGAGCAGGTGCGGGAGCCAGCAGGAACACAGGCCCACACCGGTGTCCCAGGGCCAGTGCTGGTGGGGCCCAGAGCAGGGTGGCAGGAGCACGGGATCCCAGCTGCTGGGGCTCTATGGAGCCCGGGCCGCTCCCCCCCCTCCCTG